TATATATATATACACATACATATATATATATACACATACATATACATATATATTCATGTCGGTGAATCGGGCCTTAAATATATTAATAGCTGTGTTCCAGAAAATTCTAAGGGGAAAGTCATGAATGACAACATAAACCACCAATCACGATCATGAGATATGTGTCCGCCCCGCCTACTTCCAAGTGACAGTCGTCCATCTCTCTGACTGACCAGACCAACGTCTTTTCAAACCAGTCGCCCGCAACTAACAGTGGTCGGTCTAAGGTAAGTGTTGGAAGCTTGGTTATTACAGGCAAATTATTGCTCTTTTTTATCATGTCCCAGCCATCTGTTATTCGAGTGTCTGAATAAGCTAGTCTACATCGAATATATAGTATTGGTGCCTGTAGCTTGGCTGGAAGCGCCATATTTCCCTCGTTTTGTGGATGCCGCATATATATATATTTGTGAATTTTGAGGTAATGTTAGACTTTTAGTTTCAACAATCCGTAGGTTGTTGAAACCGTTATGAGTTCATTTCGCATGTATTTCGTTTTCTAACGGTAACTTGACCGTTAGTTAATTGCCTTTGCTTGTCTGCTAGCTAGTTGGCTGAAGCTAACGCTAGTTAGCTAGCTAACGTTAAATCGTTAGCCTAGATAGCGCGCGAAAATATATTTAACCTTAATTTAGCTAAGGTGCTATGCTTCTGCCTGTGAAATATATGTAAAATGTCATTAGCGTTAGCTGATTAACTAACACGGGTTAATGTTACTGTATGTCTAGATGTGAACTATCTAATTACTTTAGCTATCAAATATTCTTTATTAAAACTTTTTTACCAATTAAAAAATTATGCCATTGCTACATGCGCAGTTAACTCAATGCAATGTTATGTTAGCTAGCTAACTGCCCACGATTGAAAACGCCACCATTTTGTGCTTGCTAGTCAACGGAGTATTTCCAATTGTTGAGAGCTAACGTTAAAAAATGCCCTTCGGTTAGAGCTGCTTCGGACTCCATGTTTGACTGTCAGCGGCCGACAGCTGAGCTGTCTGGTGGGATAAGACAGTAAATAAACGTGTGTTTGTAACTGTAGCTTACAAGTTAAGGTCAGAAAGCTGCGTTAGCAACTGATGAAGATCAGTCTTGACAATTTCAGGCACCGCTAGTGTTTTGGCTAACGGTAAACTAGCGATGTGAGTGAGTGGGTGAGCGAGAGAGAGGGAGCGGCGTTGTGGCTGCCGTCAGACAGAGCTGTGCTGATCCGCGCAGAGCTTAGTGAGCTGTAAAAACTGAAGGAAGCTGTATACTATGTGCCACATTTTGTGATTATATAAATTATGTGGACCTTAAAGCAATTCCTGAATGTTGTGTAAATACACATTATTGATTGTAGTGACACAAACGAGCTTAAATGTATGATTTTTGACCAGCTGTGGAAGATGAAGCAGGACACTGTTTGAATAAGTTTCTCAAGGAGAGCACAGGACATGTAACTTATACAGCAGACACTTATGTTCCAGCAGGTAAAAATAATGGATTTAATGTTAGTTGACCGTAAAATGTTGGTGCTTGTATAGTCTATGATTTGTCAGTTTGAAGGCATATAAACCTGTTGATTTGCTGTAGTACAAACAAGTGCAAAGATAGCTGTAGACATTTTCTGATAATAGTATACTTTTATCACACAGTATCTGTCAATACAAAGTTCAAATGAACACATGTGCTGCTAATGTCTGTGGCAAATGTATCTCTGCATTGAGAGCAGAGGATTGTGTTTTTGTGGATAGAAAGTTAAATTGGGTTTATTAATTGGGTATATCAAAATGGCCAGAAATAACCAATAAAATGATAGTAAATTATAATGCATAGAACAGACCTGGTGCCTTTACTGTGCACAGGTCAGGAAAAACTGTTATGAATGATGGATGCTGCTCACCCAGACTTGAGCATAAGCTGTTCGTTTTCAATGTCTTGTGCAATACAGTAATAGGTTAAGCACTATAGTCATACAGTCACTAATGACTAATGTGGACATATGTAGTCATTGTGATGGTAAAGACCTCATAACACTGATACATCGGCCATTCAAGAATGTTCAGCATTAAGCAAGGCAAGAATGTTAATTCCGAAACATGGACATGAGCCATGGCAACACATACCGACTCCTAACATGATTTTGGTTCAATAATGTTTCTCTCTGCCATAGATAATGAAGTAGATGGGCCTACACTTCTCCAGATGTCTGAAAGAATGAGTGAGCGAATCTTTCCAAAAATGAAAGACCAAGTGAAGTTCCTGTCTGCTTTAGCGCAGCTGAAAGTGTGAGTTACGTTATACAGTGAAGCCATGTCATTTCAATTACAATACCAAGGATTTACTTGTCTTGTTTTTGGTAGTTTTCTTACATGTTGGCTTAAATTAAAATCTGATTTTCCTCCCCTTTAGCAGTGAAAGCGAAGCCCCTGTGAGTCAGAGAGCCCTAGCAGCCCAACCAATGATCAACTGCCAAGTCCGGTTTCCTCCAACAGTCTTCACGGCACTGACCAACAAGGATGCAGCTCTGTTTGACCATTTGAGCCAAGACACAATGTAAGTTTGTGTTCCATAATAGAAGATGGCGACAGACAGCAACACATGTGATGCGTTACATCATGTAAGCAAACCATGTACCTATCAACTGTGAGCTCCAGATCAGACTGGAGACGTAACCTCAAAAAGAAAATGTCTAAGTACTTGCTATCTGACATTTTCAAAGCATGTGACAGTAATATAAATAGAAACGGTGTCCGACAAAAGTTCAGCTCTAAACGGTGCACAGGGCAGTACCACTCGCGGCCATTTAGGACACAGTGTCATGGACATAATGAACAACAAAAGATATTTGAATAGTTTGAACTTATGTGTTTTTCAAGAATGAATATTCAAACATAATTGTTGGCCAATTTTTACAGCCGTAATGTACAGTAATGACATGTTATCTGCCTGTAAAACAAGTTTCCTTGTTAATCAAGTTTTAGGTCTGTATGCCATAGTGAAAGCTATGCATCATGATGACAAACTACACATTTGCAGACCTTTAACTGCTCTTTCTGATCATTTGAGTTAGGTATCTCTGTTTATTGCGCTGATCTGGAATGTTAATCTTGTATAACGCCTTGTGTTTTGTTCCTTTTGAAAACTTACAGGTATCCGTCTCATATTCAGTATGAGCAGCTCTTTAAGTCTGTCCTGCTCAACTTCCCTTTTCTGAAGGAAAGTTATGGATCTGGATATGTAAGTATTTTCTCACTGACTAAAAGAGTAATGCTAAACTGAATTTTATGCTTCATACTTCATGCTCCAGCTCAGTCCTAATTGTGTCATTGTTTATTACTTAGCAAACAGATGCAATGGATGCTGGGGACGACGAAAGAAGTACGAGCCACCATATTGCAACAATGAAGCAGGAGTGCCAAAAGATGAGGCCTAACTTGGTCATCATTCGCCAATGCCTCCAGAGAGTACAGAAGACACTATATTCAACAACACTCTCCTGCAGAGGTCTTAAAAGAATTCACCTGCTTCTCTATTCCAATCTTGGTGAGTGTTTTATCTAATATATAACACGTGGTGCAGTGTTTCCCGCAGGATTTTGTGAGACTGTGGTGGGTGGACCTCAGACCCTGAAATGGACAGGCGCTGAACCAGAACTTAAGACAGAGGGCGATTTGGGAACAATTAGCTATTTGTTTGATGATGCATATGCCCCTGGGGGAAAGGGGCTATATTTCTGGGGTTCTAGTGTAGCCGGCTGATATCCAGACTTCCTTTTCAGTGCGCTGTTTATTTGTTTACAGTCTGATGAGCAACTTAAGATGTGAGACTGGAGTTGAGAAATGACATGTACAACAAGATGGTTTTACAAGTAGCCAAATAATTTCAAACCAATAAATAACTTTAAAACTATTAATCAATGTTAAATACTTTTTCTTGCCTCATTGATCCATTTTCCCTTTAAGCCTTTTAGAATATCCCATATACTGTGTTTTGTGTAGAAGTGCTCTAAAAAGTTGACTTGACGTTTACCTAGATACTGTTATCCAAATCAACACTCCTGAGGAAATTGGTATGATAGTCTCAAAACTTTGCAGAATAAGAATTGTGACATTTATTGAAACATGATTGGTCATTTGCAGGCCTGTTGGTGAATGCAGCCATACTCCTCCTACCATCGGTCTTCAAAGAAAATGCATCACAGCTCTTTGCAATAGATAAGGTTAGTCATTTGTGTTTGTGGGGGGCAACTTGAATTTGTTTATTTAAAAAAGGGAAATATATTTTCAGAAAATTAAGATAAAGTGCAATTTCAAAAATATGACATCTAATCTCAACAAACTAGCATTTTATGTGCAACTAAGCATATCAGAAAGCTTTGATCTTTAAACATTACGGAATACAGCTTTAAGTTTCAAATGTTTTGTTTCAGGAACCACTAAGCCCAACACCCACAATTGTCCTGAGCAGCAGCGATGGCAAGCCCCTGAGTGACAGCACAGATGTTTTTGTAGCAGTGGATGGACAAAAAATGATGGTGGACAATGAAGACGCAGACGGTTCATTGGCCATGGGTGTTGTGTTGGCCCTCTATCATCTGAAAAAAACATTTCGTTTTTGGAGGCATTTATCCTGAAGCTGGACACACGGGTACCTGTAGCTGTGCAGAGTGGCAAATGCTCTGAACATTTCTTAGATAGGACACTGCAGCACATGGATTACATTGTATAGAGTTGATTTCTGACAATAAAGTGAAGTGCAGTACATCTACAGGTGTTTCTTTTATCCACAAATCAATTTGCCATCATTTCCGTGCATGTAAAAGATAATTTTATAGATCATCACAGAAAGAATCCTGGAATATGATCTCTAAAAAAGAGTGGGAACCCTGATTCCATTGTTATGCTGTTTAAATGTAAAAAAAAAATCACGTTTTCCAAAACTCAGTTCTTTAAAGAACAATTTATTCCTTGGAAGAACCATTTTTAGCTAAAGAACCATTTGAAAAGGGTTCTTTATGGAACCATTTGGGTCCATAAAGAACCTTTTTGAAAATGGTTCTTTAAAGAACCAGAAATGGTGCTTCAAAGAACCATTTTTTGAAGGTTCTTTGAGGCACCTTTGTGGGTTCTTTAAAGAACCGTTTAAGGAAATAGTTCTTTAAAGAACCCTGGTCGGAAAGGTTCTTTGTGGAACCAAAAATGGTTCTTCTATGGCATCACTCCGAAGAACCATTTTCGGTTCCAGATGGCACCTTTATTTAGTGTGTAGAGCTAACAGTGTTCCCTGCAGGGGAACCGGAGGGTGGGTGCTACGTTTCTGCGACAACGGCGTCAGTGTTATTTAATTCCTACCAAGTGATAATCATGTGTGCACATGTCCCTTTTCAGAGAGGATATGTGGATCACAGCAGTGAGGGTCTACTGTGAACTGCCCCTCTGCCTATTCTTCTCTCAGAGTGCTCTTCCTCTCCATGCTCTGCCAGCTTCCTGCCAGCTTCCTGTGTCTGTCCGGAGCACGGGCTGCTATACAAGCACTGACCTCTATTGTAAGTTACCCTCCTCACAAATACCACTGAAGGACATCCTGGAATGGAGACAGTCCACCGTTGAAGCCATGGAGGTTGTCCAGATGTTTCAGACAAGGCCCACTGGACATGCTGCTCCCCTCGACTTTAGACCTTCGCTGAGCCTCAGCTCATTGCTTAGCAGTCTGGTCTGTAGCTTCACCGTCCTGGTTCTCTCTCACCGCTCTCATAGCATCAATGGAAGCTGTTTTCAGAGACAAGCTCTATGAACCCCACTGCATGCCGCCTGCTCAGCAGCAGTAGATGTAGTGTTACATATTGTTTGTGAGATATGATTTGTGATTTAAACATCCTGGCCTAAACTGTGGAAATCCTCGGTGGAACAAGTCATATCTGTCGTGTTTGTGTGTATCTAGAACACTCATCTAAGTAGCAGTCCATAATATCTTTGGTAGGCAGTAAAAACATAAACATTTTCATAAAATGATTTTATACTGGTGAAAAAGGTTTTTACATAATGCCCCCATTGTGTAGAGCTTGTTTGGAACGACACATGGCAGCCAACTGCTGCTGGTGGACTGTCATTTTAGTATGCCTTCTAAACGTTTCTACATTATCCTTACAAAGTAATGAACGAATCAACTATGTGTAGAAACCTTTAAGCTCTGCTGTATGTTTGCAACTGCTGAAGGTAAAGGGTAACCTGCATTTTTCAACCATGTTTTTAGTCATTTTAGTGACCAATAACCAAGTTTAGAAACAAAACACTGTGGAATAGGGTACATGTTGAAAAATGCCAAAGTGACTCCTTTACAGGCGCTGTGCAGTGGTGTATCAGTAGTACTGACCCTTTACAGGACTACAACTGAGGTCTCTTTCCTGTGCAGGGCTTCAAAAGTGTTGTAATAGTAATCCATGGCAAAGGCCTGTCAGTGGTGTTTGTTTGTGTGTTTCACTTTGAACTCGTTCCACCGCCCTCAGAGAACAGCTGAGCAGCTGACTGTGAGGCAGAACTAAGCAGTGCTGACCTGCAGAGGGAGACACAGAGAGCCTCTCTTATGATCCTCCTCCGATGTGTTTTACAGATTTGTTTTACCAAACTACATGTTTTAGTTTCCCTTGAAATACATTATATTAGAAAATACTTTTAATGTCACATTTGAATCTAATACATTTAATCCACTACCAAGAGGCTCCTCCTCTCATCAATTATACAGTAACAATGACACATCCGTCATGCATGCATTTACACACACAGTACAGGGACGCACCCCAGAATGCTTTGCATTCAGTAAACATGCACTGAGAAACCCCTGTATGAAACGTGACATCCTTTGAGCTCCACTTTATACATTGTGTCTCTCTATTACCGTCTACCCACTTACCTTCAGTACAGATATATTTAAATCTTAAACATCTATTTAGTACCATAGATAATATGCCTTATTTCTCATGTTCTTCCGTTGTTGGTGTTTACACCTTTGTATCCTTGTAACAACAAAGATTAAAGTAGCTATTAGTGGAATATCTCTGGTGACACACTACAAGAAGGCCACACCCAGATCTTGATATGTACCCATGCTGTTATGCCAAGTAGACATTGATTACCCACTTTTTATTTTTATTCTAATCAAGCAGATCTAGCAGCGTTGTTGGGAAACGTATTTGATTAAAAAAAAATTGTATGAAAAAGTACAATCAAGGTAACAACTTTTCAAAATGATATTACAACATGAAATATATGAAATAATAACATTATACTTTATGCTACATTTCAAAGTGAAAAGATGTATTCTTTTCACTCACTATACTACTGATAAGCAAAATGCAGCTCAGCAGTGTGTGCCAAGTTGTTCTAGTCTTAAATAAAAAAGAATGTATTCACAGTTAAAGTAAATTGCGACAGTGAAAAGGGCTTAGAAGGTTTTGGTGGAGGTACATGACAGACATTCCCATGCCAACTTATGACTCATAAGTGGTTGCAATTTACCATACTTACTATTTGTTGCACAGATTTGGTGCTAAATTTGACCATTTCTGACTGCTCAAGAATTGATCAAATCCATGCTGTGATTTGGTGTCAATAACTCTTGATATTTGAAGATTTCTGGGAGAAAGGCCTTTTTCTGCGTTTGGATGGGGAGCGCTTCTGTTGTGGAAACTGCTCAGAAACTCCCTTATAATACGAGAATGATACAGAGGACACCATATACTGAGGAACATCATACATCCTCTGAACGCCCTCGATCTGTAGTTTGTGGTCGTAAAGCTTCATGAGGCTCAGATCATCTTAGAGGTCACAACAGTTCTATGGGGACTGAAATCATCACACATGAGTCTCATCTTTCCAGTCATACACAATTTTATGCAATTCCAAGACTGTTTAGTGACCCCAGTATGCAGAAATAATCAAATACACAATTTTTAGAATAAGCAAAATAACACATGTATACTGCTAAATGCTGCATGTTCTTTGCCCCAAACTGAAGGGATGATCATGAAGTGGGCATGTTTGGAAAGGGGGGACTTGTGTGTACCAGTGGAACCCGTTTTCATTCACATATCTTGAGGTAAGAGGTCAAGGGACCCCTGTGAATATGGCCATGCCTGTTTTTCAGCTTGGGAGTATTAGTCGCCCCCCTTGTCTTTTAATAATCGATACTCTACAAACAGCCTCAGCATGTTTGTATGAACGTAGCTTGTTTCGAAAGGAGCTGCCAGATTTCTGCTGCCGGGGGGGACAGTGGGCTTGGCTTTGAAGAAGTTGTTCTAGGTGGATGTCTGTCTCAGTGGAGAGCTCTTGTCAGCAGGACAAAAGGCTCTGATGGGTCTTCGAGTGTCTCTCACAGTGTTGAGTTTGCTCAGCCACATTTACCACTTATACTGCCACACTCACACATGGACGTGCATGATTATTGCTCAGCAGACGTAAACCTCTCAGAGGCTTGCCAGTTGTCTCTCTTGTCTCCGTCAAGTGGACAGGCACCAGGAGGAATGTTAACATACGTACACAGATACTTTATCAATCCCTCTCTCTCTCTGCTTCTATTTCTCCATCACACGCTGCAAAATACAAGTTCACTAACCAAAAGAAAGTCATTTTACTTTCCCAAGGTTTCCAAGACTTTTGTCTCGCCAGCGATTGAGTTTACAGACTATGAACTTTCCTCATGCTGGAAGTGTTCAGTGGCCATCGGGGAAGAGAGTGGTTGTGTTGGTTAATGAGTGTAAGTGAATAAATGTCAAATGGACACGACTTTCTTTGGAAAATACACGTGAAAAGAAGAACCAAAGGAATCCTGAAGCTATACGTGGAGCGTCAGTCTGCATGCTGAATCACAGCCCCTGCAGATTATGGATTATTTGCAGTGCAGTCTTTCTGTCTGCACCGCTGTGGACTCTTCACCTCTGTTTTTTCTGAATGAAGAGGTCAAGATCATCGCGCTACGCAGATTCATCAAGCTCTAAGGAGAGGGAGAGGAAGTCAAACAAAGATAATGGTCCCCCCCCCACCGGGCTCCAGACTGGGTCCAAAAGACTCTCAACGTGTTGATGTTCAAGACATTATGAGATACAATGTCCAAAAGTTCTTATTGTCTGTAAGAGATGTATGCAAGACTGTTCTGAGTGGACAGGTTGAAAGAAATAGGGAGATAGCTACTGATTCACAGAATCTGGAGAGATGTCACATACATCACATGTTCATCAATGTATTCATCTTTAATTCAGTAAAGGTTGCAATGCCACACACTGTAAAAAATACTATGTTACAATTTAGAAGCCCTGTACTGAAAATATTACTTAGTAATACATAGTGTTAGTATGTAAGTATAATGTTTATAATATAATAATAATAACCATTTCTGTGAATGGTTGACAAAACCATTCAATAACCTAAAATGTATACTTATGGTATTTGAGTAAATGTGACATTACAGACTGGATTTGGGGGACACTGCTAAAGAAAAGAAAATAATAATTAGAGAATTAAATTAGAATAAATGTAAATTTACACTGTTTTGAGAAGAAAAAAAAGTTGTATTGTTGTATGACAAGACAAAAAGTCATAATGTTTCTTCAATAATGTAGTATTAAGAAAAAACTACATATTTTTAGGGAAGCGTTAGTACGTCTCTTAAAGCTATTAGAGAACAATCTGTCTTATGTGTCAAAATTAGGGATGTGGAAGATTATCATTATTATACGTAGGTTGTATTTCTTGAACTGATCTTAACCTCA